AAAAATTAACCCTAAAAATACCTTAATCGATCGAGATGATGGAGACGATGGCAACAGTCGATCGAGATGATGGAAACATCAAAAAGTAACCCTAAATCGAAGATGGTGGCAACAGTATCGATCGAGAGCAACTTTCATAGCCGAATACTTGCTCCATGAACTAGGTGAAGGAGATGATGGTTGCAGAGCTCTGGAGAAATCGACCTGTTGTTCAAAATCGAAGAAGAAACTGAAGAAGACTCGATGGAAAGAGAAGTCGACCTGTTGTTGAAAATCGAAGAAGAAACCGAAGAAGACTCGATGCTCTGGAGAAATCGACCTGTTGATGAAAATCGAAGAAGAAACCGAAGAAGACTCGATGGAACGGAAGCGTGTCTTGAAGACTCGATGGAAGGGTAGGTGTGTCTTTTTTGGGCTGAATGTGGACACAGTCCATATCCATCTGTGTGAATAAGTTATGAACTGTGCGAATAAGCTCCAAGTAAACACTCTATTTTGACTGTGCGAATAAGCCGGAAGTCCCATTAAGCCCATTAAGTCATAAGTAAACAGGCCCTCAATCTTATATGAATACATTATCGTATCAATACTTTATATATATATATATATATATATATATATATAGGGTTGGGTTCACTTAAGACCAAAGGTTTTTCGTGAGACCCGTAAGACCAATTTATGTTCATTGATCAACTTTATAGGTTAATGATCAAATGGTCTAAATTGCACGGTGACAATTTTGTGATTATTGAGAAGTTTCGTGACGTTTATGAATGTTTAGATTTTCAGATTGTAGATCTAATCCAAGGATTGAGAATTGGTCTTACGGGTTTCACGAAAAACCATTGGTCTCACATGATCCAAAGACTAAATATATTTTAAAACTCTTCACGGACTTATGTGATCGAATAAGACAATTAGATCCTAAAAGTTTTTGTTTTTATGGATCTATTATTCATCAAATCAATATATAAGGTTTTATATATGACCACAAAAGGACACCCACCTCAGGTTGATTCAGCAAGATGACATTTAAACATGTGTGATTGTCAATTTCATTCAATAATGTCAAATATATATATATATATATATATATACACACACACACCCATATGTAAAAAACACTATAAAAATAATGCATGCTTTCTTTGTCTTCTATTTTTCATCATTCATATCATGTTATGGTTAAGATCCATAGGACATGAACATAAATTAAGCTGGTTTTTATGAACATACACCAAGCTGGTTTTTATGAACATACACCGTATCTTTTTAGACCTAATTTTAAGTGGGATATGTATACCTGTTTTGTATGATTTGGTTCTTAACATAAAAATAAAAAATGAAAAATATGTACAAAATGAATCGATGGAGTGGTGAGAGAAAGCGGGTAACAACTAACCTCAAGAATATCTCCGACATTCACGATGAAAGCATCCGGACGGAAATTTACAGGGATCCATATGCCATCTTTCTTGACTTGCAAACCATCAACGTCGTTTACTTGAAGAAGAATGGTAATTCCAGCAGCATCAGAATGAGGGGTAAGACCGATAACCAAATCCGGTTGAGGGCATGGCGGGTAGTAAGTCATCCTCACCGATTGCATTCCATCTTCGAAAATCTCAAACATTTCTTTATTATCGATATCCACTGCTTGCCCGATTAAACCGAACAAACTCATTCCAAGTTTTTGCACCTCTAGCAAGTATTTCTCAAGTGTGTCTCTGATGGAACAATAATATTCTTGAAAATGCCACAAGACAAAACAATAATATGATGTAAAGTAATTTTAATCAATAATCCATTAGTTTGTGTTTTTTTAAAGAGACTTTACCCTTAAATATGTAATTAACCATCTTAGAACATAACTTTTGACCTAGCTAGGGCATGTATTAAAGTCACATCAATTGATGGCATATCAATCACAAAAGGGCATTGATTACACATCAATCATAAAAGGGTGAGAGATATAAAAAATATATATAATATTATGGTTCTACCTTTTAGTTTAAAATATTTGCATGCATATGCTACCAAAAGAAAAAATCGGTTTCACATGACACGTGTTAGGTTTGGTTCATAGATTTGGATGAAATTAAAAGGAATTAGAATGCATAAGGTTTTTGATCAAATTCTAAATACAATGTTTGGTTTATAGAATGAAATTGATGGAATCCTTTCAATTCTAGTAAATTCCTTCACTCACAGATTTTACATTCCACGACAATACCCTCGGATTTCAATTCATTTCCGACAAATTCCTTTCTTAATTCAAATTCATTCAACGTTACGTCTACCATCTTATCTAATTGATCTCTGGATCGATCGCCATCTAGTACGCTTTCGCTCTCTCTCTCTCTCTCTCTCTCTCTCTCTCTCTCTTTCTCGTAATTTCTCCATCTATACGAGTTCGATAGACAACATATGTAATCAAAGAATCGATTCAAAATAACTAGCTATCGATATCACTAGTCCAATTCCGTTATTCAAAAATCATAAAAAAGTCATTTGTTGATATCTAATCCGATTTCAAAGTTGAATTCCGTGAACGAAACAAAAAAATTCCAATCCGTTAAGAATTTCATTTCAATTCCATGAAACCAAACGCAATCACAAGACATGATCAAATTCCATCAAACGCAATCACAAGGCATTTGATGAATTTCAATTTTAAAATAAAATGTTTTATTAGTATTTTTTATATTATATTATTTGAAAAAATGTGTATATATATATAGAGGAGCGATCAAATGAAAACCATCCTCATACGTCGATTTCATTATTTAATCTTATAATATTTTTTTTCATGAAATTGTTTAATTTTGTGAAATTGTTTCATATAATACCTTTTTTTAATGAATTTGTTTCATATATGGTTATAAAATTGTTTCATATAATATTTAATGAAATTTTAATGAAACTGTTTCATGTATTTCTCTAAAATTAAAATAATGAAGATGATAATATCCATGATTAACACATTCCACAATAAAAATGATTAACATCAACCTCTCATAATCACAAAAAATGAACAAAATGAAAAATTATGATGGGTTAAATGAGGTTTGCATGATTTGAACAAATTAAGTGGTTTTTATTTGAACGCTTCCCTGTATAGATATAGATATATCTGTGTTGATTGTTGCATATGTATGTCCTTTGATTCAAATATTGTCCTATAAATCACTTCAACTTTCACAGAAAAAACTGATTCTTCAGGTTTCAATTCAAAATCTATTGGTGCATTGTAGAGGTCAAGAGAGAAACCTTAGTAATGGAGGGAACTCAGGAAGTAAGTTGGATTTTCTTCTATGAAGAGGATTGGTGATCATATAAAAGCGATCAGCCCAATCAACCTTCTGATCATGACCATGGAGTATCGTTTGACCATACCCTTCATACTCACCTCCCTTCAACTTGTACCTCAGCTTCTCCTCTATCGGAATCTTGAAAAACTCCACCATCTCCTTTTTCATTCTCTCCACCAACGATCTGTCAACTCCATGGTTCACCAACTGCAGATTAATCAATTCAAATTCTTGTCACTTACAACACAAATCAAACATGAGTTGAAGCTGTGTGAAGATGCTTAACCTGAAAGATCCCCCATTCATGGCATACAGATCGCAGATTTTCCAACTGTAGCTTAATATCGGATCCTCCCACGATGAAATCGTTCATGTCGATAACTGGGATAGACTTCGTAGGCGAAGAACCGTTGGGGACGAAGGTGGGTTCTTGATGTTCTTGAACATAGTGGTGAGGGACTGTGAGGTTGAGCTCTTTTGCAAGCTCTTGAACACTCCCATGGCCGACTAACGATGGTGTGAAAGCCATGTAAGATCGAGTACGTTTGGACAACAGGTTCTGTTACTTGTTTATATTAGAAGTAGGATGTCACATCAAATGATAGACATTTGATGGAGGTTTGTTTTCGGAGGATAAGGGAATCTTTCAATAAGTTCTGATATATATATATATATATATATATGTTGTTAATAGATACAAAGCTTGATGGACAACGACAAGAACATAACACTACAACAGACAAAACGAAGAAAAGTAAAGAAAAATGATGGTAGTTGCATTGCATTACAAAAATTGTGAAGATTTAAAAAAATATGCAGTATATATATCTTTACTAACTTTTTGGACTATTCACAATGATGATTTCGACGTTTTCTTAATGATTAAACGGTTTTAATTTATCGGCAAAAGTTTTACCGAAAGGTTTCGCTGGTCATGTGAAGAACAATGTATTGGAAGTCCTCTACATCCGACACTACAACAAAATTGGGTTTATAGGACACCCCTAATCTTTAAGCGTCCCAATAGACCGCTTTATAGGACTTAATTTATATGACCAAAATATAAAGCATCATGTCTAAAGGTGTTGTAATAAGTTTATATGACGCTTTTTGGTGTCTTAACAAGTTTTTAGGAAACTTTTAATACAAAGTGTCGCATTAGCAACTTTATAGGACACTTTTGAGAAAGTGTCCTATAAAATCAATGTTTTATAGGACATTTGTTTTTATAGGACAATTTTTTCAAACAGTGTCTTATAAAGTTGCTAATGAGGTCAAAGACCTTCCAGCCTAGCGGTAAAGGCTTGGGCATGACATAGTCATGAACCCGAGTTCGAGCCCTGGGAGAGGAGTGTTGGCGACATTTAAGTGGGGCCATGTTTAGCCTCCAAATTTGCCGGGGATTAGTCGGGCTTTGGCCCGGACACCCTTAAAAAAAGTTGCTAATGAGACGTTTTATATTAAAAATGTCCTAAAAAACTTATTATGACGTCAAAAAACGTCATATAAACTTATTACAACGTCTTTAGATAGGACAAGCCCGTTTAAAATTTTTAATTCGTGGCACTCGGATCAAGAGCTGGCGGCTTTGGTTGAGAATTGTTGGGACAAGCCTTGTCCGGAATTTGAGGTGTTTTCAAAGGTTGAGCGGCTGTCAAGAAAACTTCGGTACCTCAAATTGTGCATCAAAGATTGGAGGAAAAGTGTTTCCAGGGACGTAAAAGCAGACTGTGAATCTCTTAAGCAGAAAATTTCAGCGATCGACCTTCTCGCGGAAACGGGCTTTATTGATTCAAGCATGGTGAGTGAAAGAGCGAACCTTATGGTTAGGCTGAATGATTTGGTCGCCAATCATGTAAGTGATCTCAAACAAAAGGCCAAATCCCGGTGGATTGCGGCTGGTGATGAGAACACGGGTTTTTTTCATGGTCTGCTTAATAGTAGGCGTAAAGGTTCTCGTATTCACGGACTGAATATCAATGGTAGTTGGATCTCTTGCCCGGAGAAAATCAAGGATGCAGCTCATGATTTTTTTAAAGACAAGTTCTCGGATCGTTTCCCAACTAGGCCTACAATTAGCAGCTCGCTTTTTAAAAAAAATCCGGACACACAAAGGGATTGGCTTGAAGCCCCTTTTACGGTGGATGAAATTAAAAGTGCGGTTTGGAACTGTGGTTATAATAAGGCTCCGGGTCCGGATGGGTTTACCTTCGAGTTCATACGCTCTTTTTGGAATAAGTTGGGGAAGGATTTCACAGAGGCTGTCAAATTCTTTGAAGGAAACTCTTTAATAAACCCGGGTAGCAATTCCTCCTTTATTTCCCTTGTGCCGAAGACGAGGGATCCGCTTTCTTTAGAGGAGTATTGTCCAATTAATTTAATTGGGTGTGTGAGCAAAGTGATCTCGAAAGTCCTGGCGAAAGACTGAAAGGGGTTATCGGATCTGTAGTTAGCAATACGCAAACGGCTTTCATCAAGGGTCGTAGCATCTTGGATGGTCCGGTGATTGTAAATGAGATAATAGTTTGGGCCAAGAGGATCCGGAAAAAATTGTTTATTTTTAAAGTTGATTTCGCAAAAGCTTTTGACTCTCTTAATTGGAATTATCTGGATGACGTTCTCTTGCAAATGGGATTTGGTGATAAATGGAGAGCATGGATGAAAGGTTGTATTCGCACGCCTAAAGTTTCAATTCTTATTAACGGCTCCCCATTGAAGGAATTTAACATGTCCAGAGGTGTTAGAGAAGGAGATCCTCTCGCTCCTTTTCTTTTCATTCTTGCGGCGGAAGGGCTTAATGTCATTATGAAAGAAGCGCATCAAAAAGGGCTTTTTAAAGGTGTTCATTTGGGGAATCAATTGGAAGAAATGTCAATCCTGCAATATGCGGATGATACCATTTTTATAGGGGAATGGGCTGCCGATAATGCAAAAAATCTGATAAGCATCCTCAAATGCTTTGAAGTTTGTTCTGGACTCAAAATCAACATGAGTAAAAGTCGACTCACTGGTGTAGCGGTTAGCAAGGAAGAGATCTCCAGAATGGCTCGCTGGCTCAAGTGCAAAGAGGAAGCGATCCCATTTTTATACTTGGGTCTTCCAGTTGGAGGTAATATGTTGTCCTCGGCAAATTGGCAGCCCGTCATTGAGAAATTCAAGTCTTGTCTCTCGGTATGGAAAGCCAAGCATCTGTCCATTGGCGGACGGTTATGTCTTTGTAAATCTGTATTGGGCAGCTTGGGCACTTATTATTTCTCGATGTTCAAAGCTCCTAAGAAGGTGTTGAGCACTCTTGAAAGTATCAGATGTCGATTTTTCTGGGGTGGAACGGAAGAGGTTAAAAAAATTAGTTGGGTCGCGTGGGATCGGGTTCTTAGCGACAAGAAGAACGGAGGGTTGGGCATTGGTAGCTTACGTGCTCTAAACCTTGCAATGCTAGCCAAATGGTGGTGGAGGGAGCGTACGGAGGATCAGGTGACTTGGAAGTTGGTAGTGAGTTATTGCAACTCGGCTCAACCCGTGTCGGGCGCTAGCAGAGGCAGGAGAACTGTATGGAATAGCATCAAAAGTATTGAAAAAGACCTGGGGGATTTCGGGATAAATATCAATAGCCTTTTAATCGACTGTCCGGATAGGAATGGGTGGTCTTGGTTGTTGGAGGCGAATAACATCTTCTCGGTTAGATCTCTTAGGAGATTGATTGATGGTGTCATGCTACCTTCTGCGGATCAGGAAACAGAATGGCTCAAGTGGATTCCCAGCAAAGCAAATATTCATTTATGGCGAACGCTTAACAATCGGTTAGTGACAAAGGATAACCTTCTGAAACGAGGAATGGCGCTCAACTCTGCTGAATGTCCAACGTGCGTGGTAACGGCAGAGAACTTGGATCATGTCTTCATAACATGCTCCACAGCAAGGATTATTAATGCGCTGCTGGCTTCCTGGGTGGATTGCTGGCCGGCGACTGCTGCTTCGGTATGCAATATGTGGTTGGTGATCTGCTCGTTTGGGAATAGATGCAGAAGAGAGGTGGGCAAGGTGATTATGGCTGCCTTTTTCTGGAACATCTGGTCTCAAAGAAATCAAAAGTTGTTTAATGGTAAGCGCAAATCTGATAAGGAAGTTTGTAGAGATATTCAATTCACAGCGTATGATTGGATAAGATGTAGAGGGAAAGTTAGTAAGTCTTTTAGTTGGGAGAGATGAATATGTAATCCAGTTGATGCCGTGTACTCTGTTAGGAACTAGCACCTTGTTAGTCCTCTTTCTTTCTCAATAAAGTGCTCTTTTGCGTTCCAAAAAAAAAAAAAGATAGGACACTTTATTTTTTTGGTCCTATAAACTTAGTCCTATAAAGAGGTCTATTAGGATACTTAAAAATTAGGAGTGTCTTATAAACCCGATTTTGTTGTAGAGCGAAAACTTTAGTTCAGTATTTTTCACTTGATGTTATTACTTTTGGATCCTCATTGTACCTTCAATTCGTAAATGACTCATCGTGCCCCGAAGTAGAGTCTTGTATGGGGGTAATTTGTTAGAAAAGCTAAGTAGAACAACTCACTTGGATTCTATCACTTGCATTAAATGTCTAGAAGTTTGTTTTCAGACAGTAATTAAAAGAAAAAGAAAAGAAAACAATTCGTGTGTATATATACTAGTTGTGTACCTGTGTAATGCGGCGGGAGCCGTGAATTTTAACGATTTTGAAGTTTCACTGGTTTTATTATAGAAGATTTAACGATGATATAAGTTATACTTGGTCTTCACATATTAATACAATTTGAATAAATAAAAGTTATGGTTCCAATTACAGTCTGTCGATGAAAAAAAATTGTACGACATTTTAAAATTCAACATATTTAAACGACTACACAAATGTGTTCGATTTACACCAAGAGCAAAGAATCAAGAGATTCGAGAGCGAGACCGAGAGTTCTAGAGCAATTGAATGAGAGATGAATGAGAAAACTTTTAATAACTCGTGGTGAATATCGGTTTGAATCTCACCTTAGGGGATGAAGATAAGACATAGAGGTATGAGAGGACATGAGTGAAAGGTGTAAAAAATATCTTGGGAACATGAAAAGAAAATGTAATAATGTGCATTGGTAACTTGTACTATATGTTATTTTAATTGTGGATTAAGGGGTTGTTTGTCAATTGCTGAATGGTTTAGTTCAGAATGATTACGAGACTTTCATGATATAGTGCAAAATGAAATATAATTGTTTGGTAATTGTTTACAATGAAATCAGGACGCTTAATGGTTAAGGGAGACTTAGGATACAAAATAATTCAGAGGGTTTTAGAACCATTAAGAGGCAGACTTTTTTTTGTCTAACAAGATTCACCTCTTAATGATTCAAATGTTGTTTCTTAATGAAACTATTAAAAGGTAAACAAACAACCCCTAAGAGATTTTAAGACTGAATGCATAAAGTAGTAAAACTTAATGCATTATGAGTTGTTTTTAAGACTTTGTATATAAATGTATAGTACTTTGTGCATTAAAAATTGTTTTCAAGACTTTTGATAAATCTGATTTATAAAGTAGTATATATATTATATATACACATATGCATGGTAGATATCAAAATATGTGGGCTGAAAGTGCCTT